AGTCATTCGTTGCGTTCGCCTGTCTGCTAAGCTCAAAACAACCACGCCTGGCTTGACGGAGAAACCAGGAGAACAGCTGTGCATATTTACGACAGTGCACTTTTACTTTCGCCCTCTGGGGGGAGCCTCGCTGGAAAATCAACCCGGTTGCATAGTATACCTTTAAAGTTCCGCATTTATCCTGGTACCATGTCTTGTCTCTGTTCCTGGACCATGAGTTAAGCTCGCTGCTGGACTCATGGTAGTCTGAACCTGCCTGAAAGCTCTCGATTCCTGGAGCCCTGGATCTGTCTGTTCCTGTTTGGATCGGAACCCCTGACCTGGCTACGGACTCCTGGATCTCAGAACCATCGGCTTCTGAACTGTTTCCCCGACCTGAATCGATCTCCTGCCTGCTCACTGGTGTTGCTGGATTGGGGACACTCTGGATGGCTCAGCGCTGGATCTCGTTGGCACTGCATCGGTGGATCCCGCTTTTCAAGAGAGGATGAAATGAACTGTTAAACCAAAGTGCCAATGATGGGCGATGCTCCCCCTTCCCCCCGCTCTCGCTGCAGGGTTGCTGATCCACAGCACCCTGCGTTCCATTTTGGTTCTGTCTGTTTTATTTTGTCATTAGCCCTTTATAGGGCACAGCCAATAGTGTTATTGGAATCCAGCAAAATAACTTATTACCTTTGTAACATTAAAAAAATATGGATATTTTGATGGCAAAAATCTACGTCAATGTAATAACAAGAACATTAACAATAACAAGAACATTGCCCGAATATATTAAGAGAAATAACAAAAAAATAATAACAAAAAATAATTGTTAACTAGGCTTATTAACTATACTTTTTAACTTTTCAATCAGCTTCTTGACTTGTTAACTTTGTTTTTAAACTTAATTTACAGTAGGTAATACTGTATATCATTCAAGGTCTCATCTAATTGGTCAAATGCCAAAATAAGATGTACAGCCATGTAGCAGTATCTTTGCTGAATGGCTGGATATAGATCTTGTGCTTCTAGACCTTTGCAAGTGATCAAAAATAGTAACTTGCCCTATAAAGGGCTAAACGTTTTGAAACTTCCCACTGTCTGTCTCGCCTAAATACTGGGTCCATCTGTATGCTTCATGACACAAATACCTTGGCATTTCAGTAATGCTTATAATTTGAAAAGAAAAAAAGGTAAGTTAAAGGTTATTGTAGAAACCTGCATTCCAAAAAACGTTAAAAAACAATCCAATGGACTTTGTTTTACAAGTTTGGAGATGTTTCGGTTCCCATCAAGGAAGCTTTTTCAATTCAAAATGCCTGAATAGCGTTGAGTTCCAGGCTTTATAGAGTGGACCAACAAAGCCTTGTTTTAGATTGAAAAACATGCAAATTGAAATGGAATAACAGGTCCGTCCCTTAGCATTGGGGAGTCGATACTGACCTATGCCTCTGAAAAGGGGGAGTCAGTGGTTCGTTTTTTTTACTTTTTTGGAATTACAATGACCTTGATAATAATCTTTACCAGCAAACCTGTCTGCAGTTTCTCCGATGATGTCTCTCTTTACTGACTCACTGCTTAATGTAGGGGACTTCTGACGTCTGTTCTTTGTTTGTTTTTTTCCCGGTAAACCCTAATAATACTTGCCTGTTGCATATCAAAACTGTCGGGTCTAAGCACCTAAAACATCATACATACATACATACAGGGAAAGAAAGAAGGCACAGAGAAAATTAATTTAGTTTACTCGCGAGGAGAGTAGGAAGAAACTGCGGAGTTTATAAATCTCCAACCCACTCTGCAGTCTTCAGCTTTCTCCTCGCTATTTATTGAAGTCAGGGGATGTCCCTAATTACACAAGCTGAGGTTTAACTAAAGGGAAAGGGAAACAAAATGATCTTACTTTAAACCTCAGCACATATGTTAAAACAAAGCATGTGGTTGTTTTACAATTGA